TCTCTCTCTCTCTCTCTCTCTCTCTCTCTCTCTCTCTCTCTCGCTCGCTGTCTCTCCGCGGCAACCGCAACTCATTATTATTTCCCCACAGCGGAGTGTCCTCCACGTTCTTTTTTCGAATTAAATGCCATTGTATTATAAACAGCTGAACAATCTTTATATTATCATTCCCCAATGGCCCATTTCCTGTAATGCATTCAAAGAAAAGAGTTTTTAACCTTCAATGTAATGTTCAGTGATTAACCAAGGCTCTCAACAACACTGGTGGGGACATTCATGAAACGTACATTATATAGTGGCAACGCAGAATAATATATAAAACGTGCAGTTGGCTCCAGGGGCTATGATTTGGACTCTTGAACTAAAAGCTGGACTGGGGATCCTTCTCTGCTGCATTTTGAGGACAGGACTCGTCGCACTTTCCTGTCAGAGGTTGGGTTTTTTTTATTGTTGAATGGGGTGTAATACTGAGGGTGTAAAACTGAAAGAAATCCGCGGAAGAAAATATTAAAATTACGTTAGTCGTAAAATACTGACACGGCGAGTCTGCTCAGGACTATAAATAATATATTATGGCTGACTACGTGAACTTTCTCGAATGTTTATGTCAGAAGTTAAGCGCTGCACACCGACAACTGTTGACCCTTCCGTTAAGCTTTCATATCACCTCCCTTTCCCCCCTAACCATTCTTTTTTTTAGCACTTGTTTTAACGTCCTCATTGACACAAGCTTGGTCATTTGGGAGGAGGGATGCTTTGAACTGTCATTTCCAGGTCAACAGTACAGAGGCTGTGAGGTGTTCTTGGTCTTTTCAGAAAGGCGGAGACATTCAATGAAATAAACTTCTCGAGAGAGGAAATAGGGCGCCTTTTTGCATGTTGGGGCGAGCAACAATACTGTTATAATATCACAAGTAACGATCATAGAATGACTTCATCATTTCTTATGTAGTTGTTTGAAGACCCCTTCGGCACAATAATATTATAATGTCTTGGGTAAAAACCTGTCAAAGTGTGTGTGTGTGTGTGTGTGTGTGTGTGTGTGTGTGTGTGTATGTGTGTGTGTGTGTGTGTGTGTGTATGTGTGTGTGTGTGTGTGTGTGTGTGTGTGTGTGTGTGTGTGTGTGTGTGTGATAAGCTGGGTATGCAGTCTTTGCGTCTTTTGTTACTCCTTCCTACTCCTTTACTTTCTAGATTGTGCCAAGTTCCCTGTTTTTCGAAATGACGGTAGTTGAAAGGCGCCACTGGAAAGTCCCAACTTCCTTATCCGATCTCTTCTTCCTCTTTTATTTTTGCCTGCCTGCCTTTGTGTTTTTCTTTGTACTAAATCAAGGTTATTGTGTCGTTGTGTTTCTGTTCACTCAAAACCAAACAAAAAAGAAACAAATGGAACCGTGCCAGGTAAGGCGATAAACTGATTCAGAACGACGACAACTTCTTCTTTACGATGTGTTTACACACTATGCGTCACGCCTTTACACACACCCCCGCGTCGCGACAAAGCATCTATGGCCAGATGGGGCTTCTTGCGGGGGAAAGGGTCGAAAGGTCCGAAAAAAGTTCAGTGTATATCTCGAGCGATCGTGTCAAGCTCCCGTTCATGTGGCCCCGTGTGCTCTCTCTCTCCCTCCATACAACCTTACCGGAGTGCTTGAGTAATCCGATTGGGTAAAGTAGTGTTGGGCCAATGTCTCGATTTCAGTATCGAGTCAATCATGAACATTTTGCATCGGTTTCGATTAGAATACCGGCACTTCGTATTATTATAGGTGGTCGTTGGAAAGCGCCACTGGTTGGTCTTTCTTCGTCTCTTTCTCTCTATTTTTGTGAGTGTGTCTTACTCTTTCCTTACCCTAAAAGTCTGTCTCTTTTCTTACACTTAATGACTGTTATCGTGTCGATGTGCTTCTCTGCACGCGAACAAACCAACAACGACCAGTCATAGATCCGATTGCTGCTTCTGACTCTGCTGATGCTGTTGATACAGGCATCCCTCGATATGGTCGCTTTTAAGGACAAACGGGCTATCCCAGATTTTTTGCAGGTTTCCAGAAATCTTGACCTGCACCAAAAGTGGGCATTGCCCTACCTATACGAGAATTTTGGTTTCATTGGTGTGTATATTTGTTTGGTTATAGAGAAAACTCTCCTTGTCTTTTAAAAAAACTGAACAAGGGACCAAAAACTTTACCTTTGATTTTCTGGAAACAGCAGTTTTCGGGATAGCCCAATTGTGCTTAAAAGCGACCATATTATAAATGTGAAAGTTCGTCATTTTGGTTGCCTAAAAGTTTCGAACCTCTTAACTTTCGAATTTGAAAAAAAATAACGGAGGTTCAGAATCATTTAAAGAGTGCACTGTTATATAAAGGAGTCTGAAGTTTCTGTAGTCTAATTTTCAGATTTTCATTAGTTTCATTTAGATCTAATCTTGGGAAAGTCCGTTTTCTAAGATGCCATTGTAAACAAGTGAGGCTTCCGTTCACAATCACTGCGCACTGGATCCACAATGACATGACGATCGATTCTTTGGAGTCCGTTCATCGAACGGGTACCCAGCTAGTTGATAATAATTGTACTGATAATAGAAAGCAATGTGATGGTTGTGGCTTGAGGTAAGCAAGTGATCTGGTGGAGTTTGCTTATTCTTTTCATTCAAACATCAATGCCGCCCCCCCCCCACACACACACAAACCAGGGCAGTGCTACTGACTGAAGTTTTCTTTAGGCCATTCCCAAAGGGGAGATATTAACATGATCTTATACACAGTAGAATTGAAAATGGTTGATTTATCAATGCAATGCTCATACTGAGCCGAAAAAACAGAGGGGAAACTGCTGCTTTTCTTTCCTCATCCTTGCTATCGTCATTTCCCCCTACTTCTTTTGTATGTCTGTCACTCTCCTCTGAACTGCTATTTCCGGGGTGCCTTGATAGTCGAAGCAGACTTTGTGCTGTGTTGAAGCTAGAGAGGTGAGCAGAGCGAGCCTAAAACCGCGTTTGGACTTTTCCGTTGGCATCCACCCCTTGGCGCTCTTATGGCCGTATGCATTTGCGAGCGCCGTAAAACCTTACTAAAGCAAAACAAACACCTCTAATATTTGGCACTCATATGATATAATATTAATTTGTGTTGCAGGTGCCATAAAACTGTTACTAAACCTGAAAGCAAGGAATTGGCTTTCCCAGTCATTTTATTTATTTGTAGCCACACGGCAGGTGTATTCACCATCTTCAGCCTTTTCACACTGAACCATTGGACACCCAGCCTACTTGTAACTGCGTTCAGGATATCAACGTCTGTTGATAAGCAATAGAGAAAACAAACACACACACGCACGAACTCTCCCTTACAGCCCCCC